TGCATGCATGTAAGAGAGAGAGAGAGAGAGAGAGAGAGAGAGAGAGAGAGAGAGTGTGTGTGTGTGTGTGTGTGTGTGTGCGCGCGCGTGCGTGCGCGTGCGTGCGTGCGTGTGTCTCTGTCTGTGTGTGTGTGTGTGATATGTCGCCTGGCCTGAGCTGAAAGCCGAGGAAAAGCGTTGCGAACTTTGGCATGAGTCTATCCTGGCACACCTGATCCTTGGTAAAGGTCTGTTTGTTTGTGGCATTGTTCCGATGCATCATGGGATTAGTTTAAGGGCTTATAGGAGCCCTGAATAAGTAGCAGTACTATTCAAAGGTCTCGCTGCGACCTTACACCCCTCGCCAACCTACAAGCGTGTCCCATATAAGCCTCAAGATACTCCTGCGACGCAACGATTGGTAGAGACGGTGATATACTTCATACTAACCGTATCTTGTTCTTGTCCCTGCCAACAATGTATGCTAGCTGCGATACTATATGCCCCAGACCCTGTTCTGATTTTAATTAGTATGCTTCTTGCCCTAACCTCAAACCCTAAACGCCCTAAACCGCACGAGCACCATCAATGCAAGGAATGTCTTTCACAATCGAACGGTCTCGGGGGCGCCGGACTTCGTGTGCGTGGTGAGGCAACCCACATGCCGAGAACTTCGCGGCCACAAGTCTCTGAAGAACGAAGAGGCATCTGGTCTGTCCTTTAGGGGTTTAGGGCTCTGGAGGACGAAGAGGCATCTTGTCTGGCCTTGAGTTACAGGAGCCAGTTTATGTGATCTCGCCACCTCTTACTTGGCTTCCATGATCTTGGCAAGCCTTAACAAACTGGGCTGGGTTTGAAGACATAGGTTACAGAATCCTCATAGAAGCCGTATAAGCACAAACGAGCTAAACGAACCTTGTTACCTTTAGATCAGGGCTCTGCTGCGCAGAGCGCCGACAATGGCTACCAGTTCCGATGGTTTCGACATTTGTTTTGGGGTTCACAGGGCTTTATGGTGAAGGTCTTTTGGGGCTTGGAGTTAGGGTTAGGGTCTTGGGGCTTCCTTAGAGTATGTCTATCATCTGCTTCCTTAAACAGCCTCTGGGCAGGACTTAGAGGCCCAGGAAGGTCGTGTCAAAAGTTCTTGTGCACCTTTATAGTGGAATGGCAAGTAATCACATGCTTCTACTTGCCGCAACAGCCGAAAAACAAGCTTTTGATCCCGCACATGGTTGCCCCTGCTATAGGCATGAATACAGATGAAATCTCTATTTCCGTAGCAAGCACGAAAGAATCCCCCAAACCCTGAACGCTCAGAAACTTGGAGCTCAGAGTGATTTTGCTGCCCAAACCGAAGGTGAACAGCCTGAGCTTCTACCTCATGGAGTTCTGCGACACTGGTCCTACAACCGAGCTCTACGGCCCCTGCTCCAAGCGCTATGCCGAGGATGCACTTTAAAGCACTGTAGAACCGAAGCCCTTAAATCCCGTAAGTTCGACTATAGGGGCTCAGAGGGATCCCACTAGGGATTCAGATGTAGAGTGCTTCCTTATTCTAGCCTGTTCAGTATATGATATCATCAGGAGTTGATTATCAAAATCAAGGCTTGACAGCGTGCCTAAGCACATATGCCCCAGGAAAGACGCCAAGCCTTTAACACCGAGGTGCCTGAGCACATCCTCTGTAGCTCACCTGGCACACGCACACACACACACAACCCGTTAAAAGATCTCCGTTCATCGGAATTCACGGATCTGGCTGCATTCAGCGTTGCGGCGATCCACACCCGGCCTGAAACCTGAAAGCCCTAAACCCCCAGCCCTAGACCCTTTAAGCCCTAAGCCCTAAACTGGAATCCACGGCCAGGATATCATACAGACAAGCCAGCGGCTATGCGATGCAGTGAGACATGCTTGTGGCACTGCCACCTGCTAGCGCCTACCCTGGACATTCAGGGTTTAGGGTTTAGGGCTAGAGCCTGAAGCCCTCACCGCCGAAGCCCTGAAGCCCCCAAGTCCTAAAGCCTTTACAAGCCCAGGAGGCCACAGAAAGATCCCTAAAGACCCGAAACCCTAGAACCAAAGGGCTTAAGCTCGGAAGCCTAAATCCTATAGGGATCCTCGAACCCCAAAACAGGGCTTAAAGCCCGGGAGCCTAAATCCTACAAGGGATCCTCAGTCCCGAAACTCTAGACCACTTGGGATCAAATCTCCAAGCGCCGAAAAGGTTCCATAGCCTTACTGGCTAGAGTTTAGGTGTTCTACACCTATACTATACTATGGCTTACAAACTCAGCAAAGGGTTTGGGGTTTGGAGATTCTACAGCTTCAAGAAGTACGGCCGCAGGAAGACGCCAAGGCCTGAAGCTCCCTGATCAAAAGCGCAAACCACACCCATCCCTTGCCTTTTACGTCTGGCAGTTGCCAATGTGCAACGTAGTGGCCTCAAAAAAGCGTGCGCTGCGTTCTCCTGGCTTTTTCGGACTTAGTGGCGTGCCCAGAGCTCCGAATTTCCTGGATTACAGCCCAGTCAACCCTAGATGCAGCCCCAACAACTTCTGTTGCATGGATTCAATTCAAAGTCTTTGGGTTTGAGGTGTCCGAGTGCCGAATCTTGTGATTGCAGCTCCTGGCCCTAGGCCCTAGAATCCCTACACGTGCAGTCGGAAACCGCAAGAAACGAACAGCCGACAACTGACGGCAACTTATATCATCACTCCGGGCCCGCGTCGGACCCTGAGCCTAAGCTTTGAAGCCTAAATAGAACTTCTTCCACGGAAAAGGCCTCTAACTACCATGACGGTAAGAGAGAAGACTGCTTGCTGGTGCCCCGTGTCACAGTCGGAAGACCAGGTACTGTCCGTGGCCCGCACTCCCGGGATCGAGAAACAGTAACCCACCGTATAGGCAGCGGGGGTTGTGTAGGGCTCTAAACCCAACAGCACAATGGAAAGACACCTGAGGAAAATCATAAAATCCTTGCTTCGCTTGAGGATAGCCCTCATCCCCAAATCCCTACATTTAAGATCATTTAAGCCCCGAGCCCCTGTAGTTTAACCGAAAGCTCCAAGAAAGCTCAGGTCGTGTATGACTACCTTCGACGGGTCTCGCAGGCAGGCTCTTTGGCGGGGGAAACGGGGGTTTTTATCTAAACGGAGGCCTTGGTTTAAGGGGTTCCTTGTTGTGGGAGTGACCTAAACCCTAAACCCTTATTATCCCTGTTTGTTTTGGTAAAGCAGAGAGCCCCCCCCATGTTCCGCTCAACACGGGAAACGAAACCCTAAACCCTATAAGCCTTAACCGTTCGACCTTGCAGTGCTTGGCGAAGTCAGGCTTAGTACGGACTGGGTTTTCCAGGCTTCAGGGGCTTAGGAACGATAGTTCACAGGATTTTGGTTCTAGGCTTTAGGGTTGAGGGTTGGGCTTGAGGGCTTAGGGGTTTAGGATGTAGATATATATGAGAGAGTCGGTCCTTTAGAGTTGATCTGGTTTAAGGCCTTGAGGTTCACCCTCTAAGGTTAGGAAAGACTCTAACTTGCGTGTCGCTCTGCCTTTCGGCCGATGGTGTAGCTTCCCTCTCAATGCTGCAAAGGCAAACTCTGATAGAAGCAAATGCCCAACCATGTAAAGAACCTGGTAGGAAGGGCTGCTGTGCACTGAACTGAATGATTCTAGGCCGTCTGTGCAGAGTTATAAGGCGAGGGGCCCGCAGGCCCCGAAGATTGGGACCCACTACCCTCAATCAGCCAAGCACAGCTTGAACCCACCGCTTCAACTCCTAATCCCTACCTGGGACTCTAATTACCTACAGTGTTATGGGTTCTAATTCTACAGTTCTACCTACTAATTAAGGGGTAGTGGCTGCTAAACTGTAGGTAATGAGAGTTACAGGTACATCCGATATCCTTTGTCCCTTGCGTTGACTTGGTTTGCAGACCCTGCCTGGCTTTGTCGGACCGTGAGCATCGAATCCGTAACCACTAAACCTCGCCTGGCATCTCACAGAACGTAGCTCTACGTACATCTGAGTCCAAAGCCTAAAGAGCTCTACTATGTTAGCTGCAAGGCTTGAACCTTCTTATTTGGAGGTTAGAGGGGTTAGGGTTTAGGGGGTTTAGAGTATTTGTCAAGGGCTGTGCAAGGATGGCCCAAAGCACTTCTAAAACAGCTTGGTATCCTGAACCCTGCCAGCGTTTAGGGCCTAGGGCCTGTATAGTGAAGGGGTGGAGGGCACCTGACTTCCACCGCGATGGCATCCTGCTTGGCCAAACTTGCTGCATGGTGCTGTGCGGCTCGGCCTGCTTTCGGTGCTGTGAACTTGTTGAAAGCCACCAATACCCTCTAAGTACGGAGTTGCAGCGGGCGTCTGACCATGATTCAATCAAAATACCCATTAAAGGGTATAGAGGGCTTCCATAATTAGGGATGCCTATAGAGCTCAAAGGCAACAAGCTTCAACGAATTAAATGTGTGCTATGATTCTCGTTACCCTCTTCGTTGCTGTGGTGATGTTACTACTCTATGTTTTGATCTTCGTCTAGCAGCAGACGCAGCACAGTGCATCGGCAGAATCTGGGGGCAGCCTGAGTAAAGACCAGCAGTATCCTTGAGGGGTCCTGGACGTAACCATACGTTAACAGACCCCTATCAACATCCTATCAACCCTATTCACATATAAACCCTATATTCATACAATTTCCGCAAACCGTAAATCTTGAGCGCTTCAATAGTTGCGAAGTCTATCCCTCAGGGCTCCGGTGTTGCATTATACCCGAAAGCCGAATTATACCTGTCAGCAAGTCGAAACCCCCCGGAAGCCTCTCCATATCGGATGCTAACCCCCAGATCGGCTCTGCCCTCCTACGGAACCTTCTAAAGAGGGCCCGGCGCCTCCGAGTAGGGGCCCCGGATTCTCAATTTTATGTTGGCTTTGAGGGCCCTCGAGCCTTGAAGTAGACCCTTCAACTCCAAAACACTGCAAGAAAAGTCGCGCCTGCACTCCGGATTTTGTGGTTTAGGTTGTCTATCGGATTAAACGCTAAACCCGCAACCATAACCCCAAACCCGATTGCCCACACGACCTAAACTCGAACCCTCACAAACCCCACTTTCTGAGACCCTAGCCTCTTCGGCCCCAAAGAAAAGGCAAGCTCTGCAGACGAGGCCCCTCCTTCAGTTCCCGGCGCGACCCCACCGGCTGCTGCCAAGGCGGCTGCCGCAGCTCTGGACCAGTTGCTGGGCAAGGAGTATAGTGCTCCGCTTGGGACGACTACAGGGTTCTACAAGGTATAGGAGCTTCAAAAGGCTCTGAGTTCTTGTAGACGAGTTTATGGTTTACCCCCAAACCCGGTTGTAAGTGTAAGTGCTTAAAAAAGGTGGGATCTTTAGTTTCAGGCCTGGAGTGTTGGGGAGTAGGGGTGTGGGTTTGGGCGATTTGAGTTTAGGGTTCTTAGGGTTGGGAGCGGTCGGTATCAGTAGGTATTAGAGTTAACAGGAGATACTTGAGACCCCTGGCAACAGGGTTTTGTTCGGCTTCGCAAGAGTTTGAGAAGGCATTTGAGGGTTTAGTATGTTTCTTTCACGAGTTATTCCCTATGAAGGGAGCGGGGTGATGTATCAGGGTTCCAGTCCTCTGGTAAACGCTACAAGCTCGAGGAGCCTGACATGATACGATATTGCAGTAAAGGGTCCCAGGATTCGAAGGCAGAAACAAGCTGGTCCAAGGGTTTCCTCAAAGGGCTCCTCCTTCAGTCGTCCCAATACTCTCCTTAACTAAGGTGTTGTACTTTATCTCATGATGAAGAGGCCTATGCAACTCAAGGGGTCTTGCTCAACTATGGTGTAGGGGGACTCGGAGGGTGTGGTCATACTAGTTGAAAGCGTTGCAGTATTTGCCATGAATGTTAGGATCGCACTCTCTTCGAAGTAGTGGCAATCCTTCCAACGTACCATAGTTCCATAGCATTATTTGGGTGCAATGGCAGTATCACGAGCCGTAATACTGCCGTTGCGATCTCTGGTATTCTCTGTCGTCTTCGTCACCTCTGACTATGACCATCGTCATGTCCTGTGTTTGTTGGTTTTGTGTCTATGTCTCTTATAACATGAATGTGTTGCTTTAAATGATGATGGAGTTCATGTGCGGATGGGCAATCAGGTATGTGAGGTTCAAGCGTTTTCGGCCTTCAGCTTCGGATGGAGCTCGCGTAGTGCATTTCCAAACCGTAAACAACGTAAACCCTCCAACCCTTACCCGAGCATTGGAAACACGGTACAAACTCATAAGAAGCCGCTTTGCAACTACACCCCTTTTGAACCCTAAGCCTAAACCCTAAACCTAAACCGAAAACCCCGAGCACTCCAAGAGACGAAGGCTGTTGGCAGATCTGCGCGAGTCTCGTCGTTCGGATGCTTCGGCGTGTGCAGAGACGCTTCTGCGCCTTTGAC